CAGTTATAATAAATAACAGCAGTTATAATAAATAACAGCAGTTATAATAAATAACAGCAGTTATAATAAATAACAGCAGTTATAATAAATAACAACAGTAATAATAAATAACAGCAGTTATAATAAATAACAGCTGATATAATCAATAACAACAGTTATAATAAATAACGACAGTTATAATAAATAACAGCAGTTATAATAAATAACAACAGTTATAATAAATAACAACAGTTATAATAAATAACAACAGTTATAATAAATAAGTTATAATAAATAACAACAGTTATAATAAACAGTTATAATTTTTCATTCAACCTTTATTTAGACGGGTTAATCCCATTGAGCTTCAAAGACTCATTTACAAGAGAGACCTGATTTCAACAGAGTCATGACAACAATGGACAATTATAAAAGAGGCATACAGATTTTTTAAAATTATTATTACAAATTAATATAAGATGGCATAAAAGTAGCAAAAACAGCTGGATTATAAGATTATAGATTATAATTTATTATAATAAACGGCAGAGAGCAGAATGTTTTTGTGCTGCTCGCCTTTTTTCGTCATGTAGGAGGAAAACTAATATAATCCAGGCTCCAAAGAGACGCTGGTGTTTTCAACAGATTGGACTGTCACGCAGACGCTGCATGCACGATGAGGGTTGCCAGATAAATTTTGAATGTCTTTTTTACCCCCTCTTGTGTGCACATGTTCAACAAAGACAACACAAACCTCATCTTAGAATGTCTTTACTCAGCACCACGGTGAAACCCCTCACCTGCTTGAAAACTGTTGGCACCAACAGTATGCAGCTCAGATGTGTGCGCCCCCCCCCCCCCCCCAATAATCACAGACGAGATGAGCACCCCGCTATGGCAAGTTATCTAGGGAAAACACTGTGTCTTTAAAATATAAATACCATCAAAATAATAGTATAATTTTTAAAGTGACAGCGCTATAGTTCATATAATTTTTTTATCTGGCAACCTGTAAACCCTCTGTTTTTTGTTCGTTACCAATAAGCACTGAAAAAATGCTAAAGTTTCCAGAGGCTCTCGTGTAAACCGGGCCAGAGACCTGGACTCAGAAACCTTCGGCTTCAGATGACGAGTGCCATTGTCGTGTAAATGAACGGCCAAACTACAGCGGAAAAGATGCGTTTTCACTCAAACGCGTCGTGTAAACGGGGCCTCACCTTCTCACCATTCTGCTAATGACAGCCGAAACTACTCGTTGACCATCCGCCCAACAGTTGGTCGTTGGTGCCCTGATGGCCACTTGCTATTCAGAGTTCTGAGGGATTAAATGGGGACGAAGGCCCTTCAACTGTCACCCTCTTGCAGTGCTGTATCACTCAGCCCACTGTGAATAGCAAGCGGCCATCAGGGCACTAACAACCAGGCAGTTAGGCAGATGGTCCTCCTTTTGCGCGTGAACAGCTAGTTCTGGCTGTCACCAGCAAACTGATCCACTCTGAGAAGGTGCTGCTTATGGGACGTGAGTTTGTTGCAGCTCCTCAGCCTTTTGGAGAAAAGATGAAACGTTTCAACAAGAAGAATTGGTCCAGAGAACCCGACTTAACCTTATTAGACGTACGTGAAAAGGTTCTCCGGGGCAGTTTGAGTTTACTCCAGTAGTTTTCCAGATCCGTTGAGATGCACTTCTCGAATGCAGGAGTGCACTCGACGTAAACAAATCACTTCAATTTACATATTCCACTCAACAAATGCTTACAGATAAAATGAAACTATTTTCAGTCACTTTGGCTTTTCCCTTAACTGATTAGTAACGAGTTTAGTTTATAATTTTCTATTTTAAAGACTCTTAACTTCTGATATGAGAAACAAATAGTGCAGTTCTGTTTCTGTATTTTTTTTTAATTTATTTAAGTGGTCTTTGTGAAATCACAACAAACATGTTTTTAAAGCTGAACATTTGAACCAGGAAAATAAACTGATTATAAATACATATTGTAATCAGTAAATGTAGTTTTTTTTTTTTTAACCCTTAATGTGGATGATTTAGTTTCTTTGTTGCGCCTGTTTCTTCCAGGGCTGGAAAAAGGAGCGGGTGGTGGCAGAGTTCTGGGATGGAAAGATTCTCCTGGTTTTACCAGATGATGCAAAATACGCCACCAAAAAGGTGCAGACCTCCACATGTACTGTGTGATTCATACAACTTGTAACGTTAGTCTGACAAAAACCTTGGATCCTCATTCTCCACCTTAATCAAGTGAAGTCACTTATTTCCTGACCAGTTCTGGTTTTAGATGCGAGATTTGTTGAACCAGTCTGTTGGTTCATGTCCAAAATTATGTTCGAGTTTGTAAATTCACATGAGTGGGAGAAACAAAAGACGAACTCAAAGCGCACAGTAGGTGTAAATATTACTGTCTGTGCACGCAGGCTGAAGATGTGCGGCAGGTTGTGGACAGTGAGTTGGGTTTCCAGCAGGTGACTCTCAGCAGACCAACGCAGGCGAAGACTTACCTGTTCATCAACACAGACCGGCTGGTGGTGGGCTGTGTTATTGCCGAGCCCATACGACAGGTAGGAATGTGCTCGTAAAGTCTAAAGTTATTCGTTTTACAGCAGAGATCATGGATGTTCTGAGTAAACGTTCGTGTATGAACAGCTTTAAAGACGCTCCGTGTCCCTCCAGGCCTACAGAGTCCTCGAGCAGCCGGATCAGAACAAGGATATGACTAAGGACGACTTCATGGAGCGACACAGAGCCTGGTGCTGCTCCACGGTCTCAGAACAAGCTCTGTGTGGGATCAGTCGGGTCTGGGTCTTCAGCCTGGCCCGGAGGCAGGGCATCGCCACGCGCATGTTGGACACAGTCAGGTGAGACGTCTCTGCTGGACCACAGTGTCACAGCTTTGCAGTTTCAAATATTCAGACTGTGGCAGCACATTTAATCAACAATATCTACAGAGACACATTCTGAAGACCTGAAATCATCCAAGGAAACCATTGGCACTTTAGAGCGACTCGGCATACTAAACTTTGAACCAGGCATCAGCAACCTTTGGGCCTTATTAGCAAAATAAAATAACTTTTTTTTTTTTTTTTTACTTTGCAATAAAACTTTCCAGCTGATGGGTCTAAGCTGGCGTTTGGAAGCAGGACAGTTTACCTTAAACACTACTGAGTTTTCTGCTGCAGCTAAAAATAAAAGCTCTGAGTTCATAATTTTTTGTTTAGTACATATTCACTAAATTGAAAAAAAAAAAGAAAAAGTGATTGTTGCTGTACGTGTAATACCAATCTAGGTTTTCAGAGTCTGCCTGGCAGGCACAGCTAACCAAAGCTAGCTTCGCTAACCTGTAATCTGCTAACTAAACAATTAGCTTCGCTAATGCTGAACAGGTAAAAAGAACAATGGGAGAAGCTAATGCTAACGGCTAACTGCTAAGGACACGGTGGCTCAGTCTCTGTCACACGTCTTCATTTCCTTCCAGCTGAAGACTGGTGGGACTGAGACAAACCTGTTGTTGGTTTGATGTGAAGGTTGGTGGGGCCGTTTGTGGTAGTTCAGCCAAACCAGTTACAGCCCTGCGTAACGCAAGTGGACACACAAAGATGCTACACGCACACATAAGGCGCATGACGCACTCGTGCAGCGCTGCACGTGTAATGAGGCTGATTTTTTATTTTATTTTTGGATAAATAGCATAACAGAAGTTTTACACAGCAGACCAATCACGCCTTGCCACATGTACACAGTCAGCCAACAGCGTGCCTAACGGACGCTTCGAGACACGCCCACAACAGACGGGAACAAACGTGTGAATTTTGGTAGCGGACTTGATGCTAGCGGTTAATTAATCCGCTTTCGGTTTCCAAAGTTAGCAAAAACGCTAATCTGTTAAACGAAAGGTTAGCTTCGTTATTAGCCGTTAGCAGAACCGTGCCCACCACTGGTGCCTGGATTAAATTTTTATTAATTTTTAGTGCTTTGGGATGAATCTGAGCCTGAATATATAAAACAATATTATTAGAGTCGTCTTTAAATCTTTTCCTTGGACCAAGTTGATCAAACTAATGATCAAGTTTTATAATTTTGCAAAAATGTGAACAGCTATTAGCGTTTGTCTCCATACACTGATGTCCCGTGAGCTTTGTTCTTGTAATTCACAACTAATTTTAATTGTAAAACTGCGTGTGGAATCAAGTCTTTTAAAGGCTGAAAGATTTTATTGGTTTGAGAACATTTTAGATGATCTTAAATGTTAATGAATTAAATAAAATCGAAGCTCTTAAAACGGTCCCAGCTCAGCGACGTGCCTGTTCATCGACTCGCCGCACATTAAACCTGCTCTTTAATGTCACCCCTGTAGGACGACATTCGTGTACGGAAGTTATCTGACCAAAGAGGAGCTCGCCTTTTCAGACCCCACTCCAGACGGGAAACAGTTTGCCACAAAGTACTGCGACACGCCGACCTTCCTCGTTTACAATTTTATTCCGTGAAGTTCAGGAAGAAGTCGGATGTTCATGAAAGTGTGAAACTGATGTAAGGTGTTGAATTTTATGCATCGTTAGATTCTAAAACTGCTGTTAAACGCCAAGTTCATCCATGTTTAGTTAGACTAAGCTTCACCTCTGTGGAGTTCAGGCCGGGAGTTTTAAACGTTCGAGTCATTCTGTGTTTATATCGAGTGCTGCTCATTTCACTGTTGTACAAAAGCAGAGTTATTTAAATTCACTTTAACGTGTAGAGTTTAAATCTGCAGTTTATTCCTTTTGTGTCCAAGTTCATGTCAAAACTTCAAGTCTCCTAATTCATGTTGGCACCTGATGCTTGAAGCAGTTTTGTACTTTTAATGAATCTTGGTTTTGAGTATTAATACAGTTTTTGAAAAATATTGTTTAGTGTTTAAACCTAAATTCAGATTTGTGTTAGTTTAGCCAAGTCTGGCCAGCTTTAGTTTATGATTGAAGGATTTGAGGCAATAAAGTTTTTTTGCTATTGAAGTTGTATCTTGAAGATTTTTTCTACATCAAATGGTCTCATGTAAGAATATTTTATTTTTGCATACTTTCTGTACCAAATGTGGAAAATAAAATTAATTTACTTTGTAAGGATTAAACTTGTTTTAATTAGTTTACTAAACAAATACAAAATAAAAGCATTACAGTAAAAGTTGAAAAGAGTGGATAGAAAAAGACAAACACACAAATGTCCTGACGCGTGTTCAATAATCCAGGTAGATGAATCAGGGTTAAGTCAGGTCCTCTGGACGGATTCATATTTTATCCAAAGCACTTCTTCAGTCTATCGTAAACGAAACTTAGAATCCACCCAGACCACCTGACTTAACCTTGTTAGACAAACGCACAAAGTTGTGAGAAGAGAACTTGGAACACTTGGATTGAAATGTTAAATATAAATCTTCATGGTAGATTATTTTAAACGGCTAATCCAGCGATAATCCCCCGCTCTGCGCTCCGTCCCACGGGGCGTTGTCCTCCAAGGCCTGGACGATCTGGGCAGCTGAGGGTCTCTTCTTGGGGTCTTCTTCCGTGCAGAGGCAGAAGAGCTCCACCATTCTGCGGTAGGAGGCGCCGAGAGCCTCCACATCCAGAGGCGGCCTCGTCCCCAAGCGCTCGTAGTAGGCGTCTTCATCGAAGCTCACCTCCGTCGAGTCATCTGGGGTGCAAACGGTTCAACGTCGAGTCAAGTTTCACCGCAGGAAGTGATTTGATTTTTCTGCTTTAAGGCTCGGATGACGTTTTATTTTCTAGATTTGCAGAAAATAATTTGAACAATTTGTCAAGAATTACAGTATCTGTTGAAATTAATAATTAGGCGCCTTTAGTGAGAAGGAGATTAAATGTCCAGTAAAATTACTTGGACGTTGATCTTAGTAATAACATGTACATGTTTCAAGTGCTAAAAATAAGCAATTCGTAAACTTCACTCAGCGAAACATAAATTAAGCAATAAGAAGAAAAAAGGTTTGTAAAAACAAAACCTGCTATTAATCCAAAAGTGTAAACCTTTAATTTAGACTATTGGATCTGAGTTGCAGTAAAACTATTTTTACATGAGAATTGCAGAATGTGATACAGATTTGTTTTTAACTGCTTGAACAAGTGTAATTTTATTTTGCCTTTCTACATTTAACACCGACAAGAACAGAACTGGAATTTTTTTGTCAGGTTTGAGAACAAACTGACCACATTTGTTAAACGTACTGATATTTAACCACTAATTTACATTTTAGTCATCAATTAAAATAATATAGATATTCTTGTACATAGACCTACAAATAAGTGCATTTTATAATAACTTCTTTTAAATCAAACAATTAGAATAATTCAAAACCAAACTGTGAAAAAATAATTTTCCAATATGTACGTATTCAGTTATTTATGTTTGCTTCATTCATCTTTATAAAACGCTCCGTGGATCATCTCACCTTCGTCTTCCTCGTCCTCCAGCATCTCCATGTGAGGCATGGCCAGAGTCATCATCTCCCACAGAGTCAGGCCGAAGGCAAAGATGTCCGCCTTGTCCGTGATCTCTCCCTCCTCCAGAGCTTCTTTAGGTTTCCACGGCTCGGTGCCGATGTACTCTGCTTTTGGGTCAGACACTGGAGACAGAAAAAAGTGCTCAGGCTACGTGCTGTGAACGACCCTCGGCTACTACCACATCAAATCTTAGCTCGGTATCGTCACTTGTTGACATATTCGTTGTGACAGCCATCTTGGATCGGACTGACTCCAGATGTAAATCGGATGTACTTATTTATATTCAGTTATTTCTTCAGTTTAAAATTTGTCCAGTGGTTAATGAGATATTTTGCTGACGGACAGATGCAAAAACATAACATCTGGTTCACAATCACCTGTTTATGAAAAATTCTGAACAGACCAGTTTTATTTGGGGGGTAGAGGCAGGGCAGCCAACCAGGGACCAGAAAGTGGCGTCTCGACTCTCAGCCACTCCCACATGTCATGGTGCCTCTGAGCAAGACACCCAATCCCCAACTGCTCCCCGGGCACCTACATAGCTGCCCACTGCTCCACCTGGGTGTGTCTCAGGTGTGATGTTAAATGCAGAGAACTGATTTCACCATCGTATGGGAACAAACCGTGACGACCATCTCAGACTTCCCTTCAGATGCTGTAATAACCTCAGATACACTTTTTGTGTGAATGTTTATGAAGCATTCTCTGTCGTCCATTTTTCTTACGTATGTTTTTCAGCATCTTTCTCGTTCTACAATGTTTGTGCCATTTCAACAAGTCATAAATCAAAATGTTCAGCTCTTTCAGGACAATCCTGCTGAGACTTTTGATATTTGTGCAACTTTAGCCTTTTGAAATATTTAGCCTTTTCTGCCATTTTTTTCAGAGAAAATGAATTGAGCTCATTTTACATCCTTCAGATCTTTAGATGTGTTTACAACTTTTTACTGCTCCTTTCATATTTTGTTCTGCTTTAGCTTCTTTCAACTTCTTTGTGCAAATTTAAACTTTTATTTCAGCTACAAACCGGATTCCAAAAAAGTTGAGACACTGAACAAATTGTGAATAAAAACTGAATGCAATGATGTGGAGGTGCCAACATCAAATATTTTATTCAGAATAGAACACAAATCACAGATCAAAAGTTTAAACTGAGAGAATGTATCATTTTAAGGGAAAAATCTGTTGTTTTCAAATTTCATGGCGTCAACAAATCCCAAAAAAGTTGTGACAAGTGCATTTTTACCACTGTGTGGCATCCCCCCTTCTTCTTCCAACACTCAACAGACGTCTGGGGACAGAGGAGACCAGTTTCTCAAGTTTAGAAATAGGAATGCTCTCCCATTCATGTCTAATACAGGCCTCTAACTGTTCAATCGTCTTGGGCCTTCTTTGTCGCACCTTCCTCTTTATGATGCACCAAATGTTCTCTATAGGTGAAAGATCTGGACTGCAGGCTGGCCATTTCAGTACCCGGATCCTTCTCCTACGTAGCCATGATGTTGTGATTGCTGCAGAATGTGGTCTGGCATTATCGTGTTGAAAAATGCAGGGTCTTCCCTGAAAGAGATGACGTCTAGATGGGAGCATATGTTGTTCTAGAACCTGAACATAGTTCTCTGCATTAATGGTGCCTTTCCAGACATGCAAGCTGCCCATGCCACAAGCGCTCATGCAACCCCATACCATCAGTGATGCTGGCTTCTGAACAGAGCGTTGATAACAACTTGGGCTATCCTTGTCCTCTCTGGTCAGGATGACATGGCGTCCCAGTGTTCCATAAAGAACTTCAAATCGTGACTCATCTGACCACAGAACAGTCTTCCATTTTGCCACACTCCATTTTAAATGACCCCTGGCCCAGTGCAAACGTCTGAGCTTGTGGAGCTTGCTTAGAAATGGCTTCCTCTTTGCACTGTAGAGTTTCAGCTGGCAACGGCGGATGGCACGGTGGATTGTGTTCACTGACAGTGCTTTCTGGAAGTATTCCTGAGCCCATTCTGTTATTTCCTTGACAGTGGCATTCCTGTTTGAGGTGCAGTGACGTTTAAGGGCCCGGAGATCACGAGCATCCAGTAGAGTTTTACGGCCTTGACCCTTACGCACAGCGATTGTTCCAGATTCTCTGAATCTTTTGATGATGTTATGCATGGTTGATGATGATAACTTAAAAGTCTTTGCTATTTTACGCTGGGTAACACCATTCTGGTATTGCTGCACTATCTTTCTGCGCAACAATGGTGGAATTGATGATCCTCTTACCATCTTGGCTTCTGAGAGACACTGACACTCTGAGAAGCTCTTTTTATACCAATCATGTTGTCAATTGATCTAATTAGTGTTAATTGGTCTTCCAGATGTTCGTTATATGCTCAATTTCCTTTTTCCAGCCACTTATTGCTACTTGTCCCAACTTTTTTGGGATTTGTTGACACTGTGAAATTTTGAATCAACATATTTTTCCTTTAAAATGTTACATTTACTCAGATTAAACTTTTGATCTGTCATCTGTGTTATATTACAAATAAAATATTGACATTTGCCATCTCCACATCATTGCATTCAGTTTTTATTCACAATTTGTTTAGTGTCCCAACTTTTTTGGAATCAGGTTTGTACTTTCAGCTGTTTTGCACTCCTTTCAGATTCTTTCTGCAAACTACATTTTTGTGCTTCTTCTAACTTCTTTCTGCTAACTACGCTCCTTTCAGCTTATTTCTGCAAATTACAGCTTTTTCTATTTCAGTTACTATTTAGCTGTTTTATGCTAATTTTAGCCTTTTAAGCCAATTCCAAATTTTTTGCACTCATTTAAACTTGTCCAGCCTAATACAACAAAAATGTGCTCTCTCCACTTCCTTTGATAATTTAAGCTTCTTTCTGCCTTTTTAGCTACATTTCAGCTGGTTTTATGCTAATTTCAGCTTCTTTTTTTTCCAGATAATTTCCACTATTTTGTGCTCATTTCTGCTTCTTTCAGTCTAATTAGGCAAACATGTCATTTCTGATATATTCTGCTAATTTAAGCTTGTTCTACCTTTACAGCTAGATTTTTAGCATATTTTAGCTAATTTCAGCTGTATTTTCAGCAAGTTCTTCTGCAATAAGCATTCACACTGCATTTTAACTGTCCTGATTTACTCTCAAGGTGTCAGATTTCATTAATAAACATCAGCTTTAGCAGTCTGACTAAACAGCATCCTCTATAAAAACAAAACTAATAATTAAACAAAATTACTTAACAAAAAACTGCTTCTTGCATAAAATAAAATTCTGTCTGAAAAGCTTGTGAGCATTTTAGTGTTAAATTGAATATTTTCAGTTTACCTCTCATGTTCTCGTCGAGCTGCAGAGAAACTCCGACGTCACAGATCTTCACCGTCTCGAAGTTACCTCTGATGACCACGTTACACGACTTCATGTCTCCGTGCAGCAGCTTCTTCTCGTTGTGAAGATACTGCAGAGACAAGTTACCAACGAGCCTCTAACTCTGCTTTCAAATACGCACTTTGAGCCTCTTTGCTCAAATAAAACGAGACGAGAACAAACGTTGCGTCATCTGCGAATGTGCACGATTCACCTTGAGGCCAAGAGCCACGTGCCGAGCCACCTTCTCCACGACGGCAGCAGGGAAAGCTTCCAGCCCAGCCTCCCTCCTTTTCTCGATCAGGTCGTTGAGGGACTGCTCCCCTCCGTACTCCATGGCCAAACACTTGGAGCCGTCTTTGGCTGTAGTGAAGGCACGGAAACCTTCACGTCGACACAAAGGAATGAGAAAACTCACATCAGGAGTGACAAAGTGAAGAAACAAACATGAACTCTCCAACAGCCTCCAGATTACGAGGATGTGCTCGACGTGACGTTTAAAACTAAAACAGAAAAGTTGCAAAGAACCTTTAAGGATCAATTTTTTCTGTCACGTTCAGTACAAGTACATTCGTTCTTTGTACAAGTACATATTGAAGAGTGTTTGCCAATTTTCTATGTTTCAATCGCTTCTTTTATGGATATAATAAATTATTAAACTAAGCAAAATCTCACTTTATTGTTAGTGAATTTACCTAAAATGTTCCTGTTTATTCTGTTTTTTTTTTTAGTCATGAATTTGCAAATAGTTTGTAGTACAACCCCCTTCAGGGTGTTTTGTATTCTCTTTTCATAAACTACGCATTGTTCTGATCTGATCTTAAAGCACTGCCTAATGTTGGTGCGCTTGTTGTGTTTTGTCTTACCAACAACGTTCGGGTGATCAATGCCCTTCAGGATCTTTGCCTCCTCGTTGAGGCGCTTCTGGTAAACAGCTGACTGTGCTGAAGCACATTTACTGTTGATCTTCTTCACAGCCCAGGGTGACGCATTCAGCTTTCCCACTCTGAGTTCAAATTTTTAAAAATAAGGAAAAACATCACGGCACGAAAATGATTTACTGCAATATCACACTTTAACAGACATAAAAATGTTTCCATGTTTTAGCTTGAGTGAGTAAAAACAACAAATGATGGATTTATCTGCAATTATTTGTGTGTTTTCTTTTAAAAGCACACAGCCCATGCATAATAAGTTTGAAAGCATCTAAAAAAGGAAATAATAAAAAAACAGTACAACTAAATCCCAAGTTTTTTAGTATTAGATGTTTGTAGTATTTTAAAAAGGTGACATCAAACGTACTCATTACAAAATGAAAAGAAAAAAAATCAACAACTACATCAAATGCTGCAGTTTCAAAGAGTTTACTCCAGTAGTTTCCAGATATATTGATTTGCAATTCTGACATGTGAGTATGCACTCAGTGTAAACAAAGCGCTCAGCTGAATCTCCTGAAAAGTCTGTAGGTAAATAAATATGGTGGAGTCGAACAAGCGTGGAATCTTGCGTGGAAAAATAAGTTTGAATCTGCTGCTAAACGCAAAACAAGACGAGTAAAACAGCTGTCAAGATTAAATATCAGGCATCACAGGGCAGACAGCTTGCATGCTTTACTCAACTAATCTGAGCGTTAATACGAACCAATACATTAAACATTTTGGACATCCCCGTGGGAAAGCCGTTCTTCCATGGGACGTCCCCATTGTTGGCCTGTTTCCAGTCTCTTTGACTGTCGCTGTAGTTAAACAAACACCGGTGGGAGTTGGAAGCTGTTCCAGCATTTCATGAAAACAAAATTCCCTGAGTAAATCCTGAAATTCTAGGAGATATTTCAGTCACACAAAACACACAGAGTAGTTTTATAGCCTACAGTGCATGCGTATGGCAACCATGCCTAATAATTCATTATATTGTGAAACGTCAGATGCTAAAAAGCTACAATAGTCAGTCAGTAAGGACACATGCACGTACACTGTCGAAGCAGTTAATCCCTCATACACAGAAATACACCTCTTGGATAAGAAAGTAACAGAGCTAAAGGACTAAAAAATGAAACCTGTTCATGAGGTAAACGTTGACTCCAGTTCCACATCCCAACTTCTTCATGAAAGGTGAGGCAGGGATGGTGATGGGGGTACCAGCACCACCACTGCTGCTGCTTCCAGAGCTCCTGATCCGGCCACGATTAGGGGTTTTAAATCCACCCTCGTCGGTGCATTTGTAAGAGGTGGCCATTCTGTCCAAGAAAACAAAAAAACAGTAATAACATTGTGGGTTTTCAAACTGTTAACATAAGATCTTTTGACAAACACAAACTACACTCCCATCTTTGATTTTAAAGACGTATATTTAGTAAGTTCTGTATTCTAATCCTGTCAAATGCACGCCGAATTAAAGTGTAGCTATTTATTATCCCACAGAGTATGTATTAAGCGATCGTTGCTTATTACTGCAAACAATAACAAACAAATTGCCACATTTTGTATAAAGGCTGGCACGAACGACCACAATGGCGTCAATGGAAAGCGTACAATTCTGTCTGTCTTCGTAGATACGTAATGGATAGCTTCAAATTTGAATAAAATGCTAATTATAAACACAATTAACTTTGAAACAATGTTTTACCCACACCTGATAAACGTATAAAAGGGCGCAAAAGGAAGCAGCCAAACCTAACGTTAAATAACGGCTAAAATTAGTGTAAGAATGCTAGTTTTTGTTACAGCGTATCCTTTGGCATAAATCTAAATAAAAATTTAAAACTGCACAGACAAATCAAGTTTGCGTCTTTCTTTTGAGGTATAAAACCTCAAGTTAAATGTAATAAATCACCTCAGTTTGTCTCCACGGGTCTAAACAAAAATAAAAGCCGAAGGAGAATGGCGCCAAACGTTCAAACAGACAACCGGCACGGCTACGGAATCTGAAGAGGGACAAACGGAACGCTGCGGTTTTAGCATCATTCGAGAGTATTCATTCCGTATGCAAATTCAGCTTAAATCATTTAGTATAGTAGTTATTAAGCAATGGAAAACTTAAAAATGTTTTCTTAAACGCGAGCTCAGACGGTATGATGTTTCAAATAACGACGACTCATTTTAAACACCGCCACCTATCGGTCAACCGGTGTAAGGACACCAAAGAGCCCCAATCACCGGAAGGTATGGTTTATTTCCTCCAGCGAGGGTCTGCGACTTTTACAAGCAAAAGAACCTATCCAAACAATAAAAAATAAAAATAAATAATAATAAATAAAGGTAAAAACACGACTTATTAAATGTTCAAAAATACTGTGCGTTATTAGAGCCATGTTTTTGGGGTTTATGTGTTTATGTATTTACAGGTAACCGCTCAGCAGGTGTGCTGGTTGCTGCGGCAACAAACCGTCACGTCGTCTTATTTTTACTGTTTGATTGCGTCAGTGCGGGAATTATCTGAACTTTTGGTGTAATTAATCCAGACTGGAAGTGGAGAGCTCAAGATCATTGGATGCAGGAGGACGACGCGTCAACCCAGAGACAGCAGGTTCGTTTTGTTTCATTTTGGTTAAGAACAAGTCACTACATAAAGTTAAAAATATGTAACAAATGTTGATATTTATTGTAGTTTTTACATGTTAGGACAAAAACTAACAAAAAAAAAAACAGTTTATAAATTTTAAAAACTGAACTGTCTGTTCAGGTAAATCCAGTACATATGTGTTGGAAAATTAAAAATAAATTATGTACATTTTAATAAACTGTTGGAAGTAGTTAGGCCATTTTGTAAAGTGCCCAAATTGCCACCAAGAGTGTTGGTGAAATTTGATTTTAATAATTCATGCATAAAACTAACTTTAAATTCGATTCAATTTCAATTAAATTACCCTCAAAGTATGAGTAAAATACGTTAAATATACTTCAAATATATGTAAACAATCAGAAACATTGAAACTGTTGTAGTACAGATTTTGACCAGCAGAGGGCAGCCATGTTTTATGATGTTGGATAAATCAGGTGCAGGACAGGTGTAGCATTGATTGATTGATTGATTGATTTTTATTGTCAATTCTGCATATGTACAGGACATACATAGAAATTGAAATTGCGTTACACTCCTACTCAAATTGCAGCAAACAACAACATTAGCAAAAATAAACTAACACAACTAGTTATATAAAAAAATATAAAAAAATATAAAAGTGAACAGCAGCAGGACCTCTGATGCAACGTGCTCAATAGTGACTAACAGGAGACAAAGGGACGCTGACTGAAGACAATAACATGATGAGAGGTAGATAATGGATGTGCAAGGCCAGAGTAAACAATAGTGCAATATAAAGTATAAACCTGAGAAACTTAGTAAAGTGAAGGTGTGCATACCGGTTCTATATAGAGTCACAGTTATGTACTGATGAGGTGATTAAGTGGAAATGACAATACCAGAATTACCAGAATAAAGAATAAACAGGACGAGTTGATCATAACAGTAGTGCAAAATATAATGCAATAAACAGTAGAGTGAGCTTGTAGGCTGTTAAAGTGACCGATTCATGAACTATTCATAAAACTAAATAAATGTCCCAGAGCAGTTTTGAAGGGGGGGGGGGGGGGGGGGG